GGGAATCTGACACCCTCTTCTGTCCTCCAGGGGCACTGCACAACACGGGTGTATAACACTCATACACATAAAATAAAAATAAATAAAAATTTTCTTTTAAAAAGAAAAGAAAATTGGAGCTCACAAGGGAAATATCTTGATTGTTAAATGCTGTGAAAGTGTTCTGATTTTCTGGAAGCACCAAAAAACCAAACAAAACTGGTCTGTAGGTCAGAGAAGCTGTGGCTTGGAGGCTTTGCCTAAAGCAGTATTTCACTGAGGGATGTTTTTTTCCCTCTGATGACATTCTGCAATATCTAGAAATAATTTTGGTCATCACAACTTGGGGCCAAAAGTAGGAAATGCTACCAAAAGCCAGTGGGAAGAGGCAGGGAGGCTGCTAAACACCCTACCATGTGCTGACAGGGTCGGTAACAAAGAGTTTGTTCCTCTAAGGAGTCCAACTGGGATTAGAAGTTGGGGTGAAAGGAGCAGGGGCTCCTGTAGTCATGGCTCCCCACTCTTGTGACTGATTAACCTAATTTTACTGGTCAGTCTGTCAGAAAGGCAAGACTGTGGGACACTTGGATCCTTTTTGGCCCAGCCTTGTTACTTTAATGATCCACACACTTCCTGTGCATAAAGGAAGTGCTTTCTACCCAACACTTTGCAAGCATGAGAATAATGCAAAAAATGTGGACAGCAAGGGCCCGTATGTTGCCACTCCAGTCCCCAAGGGCTGGGTGTGGTTGAAGATCATCTTGGTTATGGCCTCCTGCTCCTGGTGGAATGTTTGGTTTGTGTTTCTCAGTAGTATTTAGAACTGTACCTGAGACTATTTCCCTTCCAAACTAATTCCAACCATAAAAACAACAATAAAGACCTTGAGGGCTGCTCTGTGGAGTGACTGCTGCCAAGCCAACTCTGTGGCTGCTCCATGAGGTACTGAGGGGTTGATGAGCAGGGACTCAGCAGGTCTGATGGCCTCCAGTTCCCCTGAGAAAATACAGGAACAGGTCTCCAGTCCCACCCCATCAGTCCATACTGTGTCCCTGAGTTCCTCTTCCTGAGGCCTGACCCTGAGCATACTATTCTCCCACTCAAAAGCCTTTAGTGGCTCCCAGGTCTGCTCTGAAGGAAGTGAGCACTCTGTCAGCCTCCATCATGATGTGGCTCAGCCTCCTTCTACAGTTTATTGCTTTTAGCAAACAAGTCTTTCCACATTCTCTTTATCCAGGCCACGCCCCTCACTCTCCCTGCACTTGAGGTGCTGTCTCTGGCCATTCACACAAGGTGAACAGGCTGTAGAGTACACTCTCTGACTTCATCATCATTTCTTCTTGTGTTACTTCATCCTGCACCCTTTCCTGGGCCTTTCTGCCTCCTGCATTAGAATCATGTAAACCTCCACCCTGCCAAACTGGAAGATTCTTACAGGAAGTTAACCAAAGATTCAGCTCTGTAGTCTCATCACTATAGAACTTCCTATCCCTGTTGCTGGCACTGCATGGGTATTGTTGATTCGGCCTGCAGTACAACTTGTCATGCACTTTGTGCCCCATTCAGTGCCGGGTATTGCTTTGGCTGTTGCCTGTTTTCATCCTCCCAGGGACTTCACAATGCCCATCACATTATACCATGTTTACAAATGTGTACAAGACTTAAAGGAAGTGTCCATTCATTCATGCCTTCCAGTCATGGATGCATTGGGTAATGCAATGTAGTGATCACCCTCTGTGCAACAGGACTTGCAGCAGGGCTGCAGAAATGGGGAGATGAGGTGTGGCAGGTGGGTATTGGGAAGCAGACCCTGAGATGTCTGAATTTTGCATCTAGGGGATGGTTAGAGAGTGTTCCTTAGGCTACTCTGTGGTGAGATGTAGGATGGAATACCCTTCTAACATGTCTAAGTTGAGACAGGAAAGTTAGGCCTCTGCCCCACACTGATCAGTCTGGATAGAGCCATACTCAGAATGGGTGCTGCATTTTCCTTTTGGAGGCCATCTGTAGTGATTTGAATGAGAAAGTCCCTCATAGGCTCCAAGTATTTGGACATTTTGTCCCCTGAAGGTGGCACTGTTTTGTGAGGTTTTAGGAGGAGTGGCCTTGCTGGAGGAAGTGTGTCACTGGGGGTAGGCTTTGAGAGCTCTTAAGCGTGGATTTTCCAGTTGCTCTTGGTTTCCTGTGCTTGCTTGAAGATGGGAGTGCTCCTCTTTCTGCTCAGGCCACCTCTTGCCACCATGCTTCCCCGCCATGATGAACTCATTCCTCTGGAACCTGGAACCAGGAACCATAAACTGAAACTGTTCTTCCTATAAGTTTCCTTAGTCACAGTGTTGTATAATAGTAACAGAAAAGTAACTAATACGTTATCCCTGATGGCACTGTCTTGGTTCAGGGCTGTGTGTCTGAAGCATGCCTACCTGGGATAGTTGAGCATCTGCTACCAGAGAGAAAGTTGCTTTGCTTTCCTGGGCTTACATTCCCATAGGGAAAGTCACTGATAAAGGAAGAAACAAGTGAGCAAGCTAGATCATGGCACCTCCCCTTGTAAGTGCAGACCAGACAGCAAGCAGCACTCATCTTACAGATGAGGAAGCTGGGCTGCCAAGGGAGGAAATGGCTTGAAGTCTCACCTCCAGCACACATCTCCGTGGCTCAATTACGTAAGCAGTCTTTGCCTATCATGTAAAGCTTCCATCATCAAGTGAAGGAGGTGGGACTTGATCCTGTAGACAATAAGCGTGACTTGGAGAGACAGAATGGAATGCATTTCTTGGAAATCCCACTGGCATGGATGTGCAGGATGGGCAGCTAGCTCAAAGAGATAGCACCAGGGACTTTGAGCCCTGGGTCTACAGTGAGGATGTCTTGGTCTAGGATCTGGGGGGTAGAAGATGAGCTGTGTCCCTTAAGATGCTTTGGCTACAAGTAACAAGAACTCAGCTTAGTGTGGCTTAAACAGTAAAGAAGATGAAGGTGGAAGACAAACTCTGAAGTTTTAGATCAGTTTTTGCTCAGGTGTTAACGAAATGAGCCAGGTTCTTTTTGTTCTGACCTAAGGCAGCGTTTTCTTTTGGTTGGTCTCTAGATGCCTACAGTACCAACTGGGGCTATGTGGACTTTTGCTTACACTCAGTAGAAGGACTAAAATCTTCTTGTCCATTATGCAAGTCTTTCTTTTCTGTCTCATTAAATCACCCCAGACTGTATCAACACAAAGAATGACCCACAATGTAGAGCTGGGGTGAGATGAAGAAATGGCAGGGAATGTATGTAGACCAAATGCACAGCTCTGCTAAGAAGTAGGAAGAATGGGGCAGGTGATGGGAAGGGAGCTCCTAATTCCTGCTACAGAGTACAAAGGATTAGACAGTGTGAAGGCAGGGCACAGTGATAGATTGACTTGAGGAGGAAAAAAATGACAAAAAATTTCCAAGATAACTCCAAAGTTTCAGGTTGATGTCCCAGGAAGGTATTATCCCATAGTTCAGAGTCCAGGGGCTGAGGAGTGTACCTTTGGATAATTTGAATTTGGTGTGACAAGGGGACATCCAGATCATTGTTTTACAATGACTAGAGACCTTGAGCTTGCGCTCATGATCACATTGGATGAAGCCCAGGAGAGAGGCCCATGGAGATGGTGACATGGTGCTGGTCACTAAAGGGTAAGAGTAGATGTCAGGGCTGGATAGGGGAGCCAGCTAGAATGGGAACTTAGACAGCAAGGCTGGAGGAGTTTGAGGGCAGGGTTCCTCTCAGCAGAGCTGCTAGGATGGTGTACAGAAATGCTCCTTGCTGCATCATGTCTGAAATAAGACAGTGGACTTGCCCAATGTCCATCCCTATGGAGGGTTAAAGTAATGATGCTGCACCAGGTGTATGGAATCCCAAGCAGCTTCCAGAAAGAAGGGGAGTGCAAAAGTCATCTGGGCTATGGTGGAAAAATCTCTTAGATCAAATGAAAAAAGCAAGCCGTGAAGGTGTGTGTTGTGTGTTCCCATTTGTGTTAGGAGAGAATATGTGGTATGTAGAGATGTACGCTCAGGCCATCTCTGAAAGGGAACAGAAGAAACTTCATTGTTCCTCTATGTAGGGTTCTGGAAACCTGGAAGCCTTACTCTTACTCTTTTTTTTTTAAACCTTGCTGGCTGTTGGAGTTTCTTGAACCATGTGTATCTATCATCTGTCACAAAAGTTAGATCATAAAAATAAATACCTAAAAACTGGATCTTGGATGTCAAGGTGTTAGTAGGTCTAGAACTGAGGGAGGGCCACAGAAGTAAGCCAGAGAATCAGCAGTGCTTGGTTAAACCTGGGGTGGGGATGCACAGGGGAAATGCAGGCGTATACTGATTGCTCAGAAAATAGGAAATGGGTCTGGTTGGTTGGGTTCACTGAGTATCCTTTCATTTACCTAGATCAGTGAGGTTTTTGTTGATTGCTGTACCCCTCTCCACATTCCCACTCTTTCTGTGTGAAAAAGAAATTGGTAAACCCAGCCAGAAAACTTTTATCCCTCTGACATTAAAACTTTTAAAGCTAATGTTTATACATTATATGTGGTATGGTATAATAATTATATATATGTATGCGATATGTAATAATCAAATAGGGCAATTTGTTTTACCATCTCCTCAAGCGTTTCTCTTCTCTCCTCTTTTCTCCTCTCCCCTCACCTCTTCCTCTCCCTACATCTCCCCCCCTCCCCACCCCTCTCCTCTCCTCTCTTCCCCTCCTCTCTCCTTTCCTTTCCTTTCTCTTCTCAGACAGGGTCTCAAGTAGCCCAGGCTGGCCTCAAATTCCCTATGTAGCTGAAGATGACCTTGAACTTCTGATCTTCTTGCTTCCACCTCCTGTGTGCAGAGATGACAGGCATGCATCAACATACGGTTTTATATGGTGCTGGGGACTGAATGCAGGCCCTCATGCATGCTAGGCAAGCAGTCTATCAGCCGAGCTCCATCCCTAGCCTACATTTTTCATTTCTGTGTGCTGACATTTGTTCTTCCATGTTCCAGAGCAAGGAGATTGGCCTGCAGATGCACGAGGAGCTGCTGAAGGTGACCAATGAGCTCTACACAGTAAGTTCTGCCCAGGCTCACTGCTGCTTGTCTAGGGCTCCTGGCTTTCACTTTTGAGGGGGAGGGACCGAGGTCTAGGATGTCCCTGGGCCTCCCTCCCTGCTATATCTTGTGCTAGAGTGGCAGTAGGTCATCATACTAGGATGTGATTATCAGGACCCCAGCTTCTGATTCCTTACACATGTGGGATAGGTTCTAGGCTTGTTTAATAGGTTAAAGTGCATGAGTCACATGACCTGCCAGATATGGCATGTATTGCCTATGAGCACAAAGGTCCTGAAGTTGAGGCTTGGGAGCATGGCTGTGAAGTCTCCAGAGGGCAGGAATATGGACTTAGCTGTCAGGTGTCATAGGCGCTAGAGGGGTCTGCTTCTTACTGATCATTAGGCCTTAAACACACAGCTTTCCTGGATTCCTTTGTCTTTGTGTATAGAATAGGGCCCTGTTCTGAGGGGGACCTGAGGTGAAGGGGTGAGCATGCCTGACAACCGGTTTCCAGTGGAGAACTTCAGACACCACAGTGTGGCCTAGAGTTGATCTTGCTGCCTGCTTTGTAGCCAAGGTCTAACCACACTGGAGATAGACATTAGACTCAGGAAGGCAGGGATTTGGAGAGCACACGCCACCTAGGTTGTAGGGCAGGAGCTTCCTGTCTGCTCTGAGCAGCCTTTGGGCTTCCTTGGGGAGGAGAGTCGGGATCCCTGTACATAGCCTTGGGGTACAGTGCAGGTTAGGTCCAGCAGGTAGAGTGTCAGGTGGAACTATTATGTTTTGCATATCTTAGGGGTTCCTTGTAAAACTCCTCATTTAAAGTGTGAATAGGGAGGGGGTTCGGTCACTAAAATGGCATTGGAACATGCCGGGTAGGAGAAGAAAGAAGCACAGGCTATGTGAAGCCCTTTCTCTTTGGATTGTTCTTTCTATATTTAGACCTATGGAGGAAGCAGTGGCCTCCTCAGGGGCCGAGAGCCTGACTCAAGGCCTGTATCCTGAATAGAAGGCCTGGGCAGACTCCAGCAGCTGGGGTTGGGTGGGGGCCATAGTAAATGTTAAGCAAATGTATTATCCTGTAATGCTGTAAGTTCTAACTTTCACCTAGGGACTTCCCTGGTGAAAGTTAGAACTTAGAGGGCTATGAACTCAGGTAAAGATAGAATTGCTGCTGGAGAGTTCATTTTCCTCTGCATCAGCTGGCCACAGAGATACAGGGTAGCCTGCTGGTTGGAAGCACAGACTAATCCCAGACAGGCACTGCGTATCTCTCTTCACCTTCTTGGGTGTGTGTATGTGTGACAGTTTTAACTGTCAGCTGGGCACAACCTAGAATTATCTGCAAAGAGAGTCTTAATGATGAATTATCTAGATCAGATTGACCTGTGGGCATGTCTGTAGGGGATTGTCTTGATCGTTAACCAAGGTAGGAAGAGCTAGCATATTGTGGGCAGTCCCATTTCGTGGGATGGGCTGGCAGAGTAGTAACACAAGCAAGCAGGCAGCATGCATGTGTCATCTTTCTCTTGACTGTGGATGTGACGTGATGACTGCTGGAGTTCCAGCTTTGACTTCCCCTCAACAATGGACTGTGACCTGGAACCGCAAGCCAAATATGCCCTTTCCTCCTATCACAGCAACAGAAATGAAAGGAGAACAGTGTGTGTGCTGAAATCTATTTTAAAATAGTTCATTATATGTTACAACTTTGCTTCAAAAAAGTAAAAATAGAGCGATGCCGAATGATGAAGACCTGTAATCCAGCTACTTAGGAAACTGAGGAAGGAGGATTGCAAGTCAAAACCTTCCTAGGCTTTTGTGTGTTTAAGACCTTGCCTTAAAAAAAAAAAAAAAAAAGATGGAATCTGTGGCTGCTCAAGTTCTTGTGTAAAGTGCTGTCATGTCACACTTCCTCCCAGATACTATAGCTAATATAATGTCAGCGGTAAACAAATAGTTGTTATGCTGCATTGTGTAGGGACAAGGGAAAAGAGTCTGTACATGCTTACTATAGATAGAACTCTCTTCTCCTAATATTTTAATCTGCATTTGGTTGAGTTGATGGATATGGAACCCACTGATATGGAGCGCCACCTGCACTGAGCGGATCACACATGTAAAGCATGCTTAGAATAATTGGGTGTAGTGTACTAGAGAGTCTGCCTGATACTGTCATCATCATCATCATCATCATCATCATTGTCGTCGTCATCAATCATCATCATAATTTCACCCTTGATGAGTGTGAAATAGACTGTTATCCGTATGGGCAGGGGCAGTGATGAGTATACAAGGCAGATGACTTAGTGGATTTTCTAGCTTAGAATTTTCTATAGGATTTGACTGTACTGGGTATTCCCTAGTATAGGTTTTTTCTGTGCTCCTTGAGAAGCTCGCTGTTCCCACCTGTGTCTAAGCTTCTTTCCACCCTCCAAATGGGTGCCTCATTTTGACTGTTGTTCTGGTTTGCTTTCTGTAACTGTGATAAAACACTCTGACCAAAAGCAACCTGAAGAGAAAAGGCTTTATTTGGCATACACTTCCCAGGTCACAGTCTTTCACAGAGGGGAGTCAGGGCAGAAACTCAAGGCAAGAGCTTGAAGCAGAAACCATGTAGGAACATTGCTTGCTGGCTTGCTCTCTAGCTTGCTCACTGGCTCATGCACAGCTAGCTTTCTTACACATCTCAGGCCCACTTGCCTGGGGATGTTGCTGCCCACAGTGGGGTGGACCCTCCCGTATCAATCATCAACCAAGGCAATCTCTCATAGATGTGGCCACAGGCTAATCTGAGGAAATTCTTCAACTGAGGTTTCCTCTTTCCAAATAATGCGTTGTGTCAAGTTGACAATAAAAGCTAACCAGGGCAGCTGTCTATACTCACCCCCAGTGGCCTCCCCTCTGCTTCTTTTACTACTGTAAGCCCCCCGCCCCCATAATCACCTGCTTTCCCCTCTGTTCATCTGAATCACATTCGTTTTTCCAACTCAGACCAAACCCTGACACCTTCAGAAAGGCTGTTCAGAAACCCCCGGACTTTGAGTCCTATTGCAGCCTTATAAAAACCTTGTATCTTTGTTGTCTAGACCTGTCCACTCTTGCAAGATGAATTCCCTGCAGTCAAATCTTGGCTCATAAGTAACACTCCACTAAAGACCCAAAGGCTCAAATTGGACAGCTGTGTGACCTGGGGGACATCATTTCACCCCTCAGCTTTGTCTGAAAAAATGGGGTTGATCATTTTGCTGTGATTTATAGACTAGACAGCACTAGTCTATCAGGAATTTCGAGGATGGTGCCATCTGTGTCCCTGTGGTACTGGTGCCCTGAATCCAGCAGATTCTGTATACAGAACTACCCATTCTGTCTACAGGCTAAGGCAGCTGACCAGAAATACTATAGATATCAGACATGCAGGTATGCATCTGGCTAAGCCCATGACAGGCCATTTGCTGCCATGCTACACTCACAGTGACCTGCTAGTGGTGCTCTAGGAGCTTGTGAACAGGAAGGGCTCAGTGCTTCCAAGCTCTTTCTTCTTTTACTGCATATGGAAGACAGCAGGTTACAGGGTATCAACAACACCCCTAACCCATTGTTGCTCACACAGTCCTCTGTATCTGTAGGTCCTATATCCATGAGTCTGAAGTATTACCTGAAGGTTCGTTTGTTAAAGGCTGGACCATTGATGCAATCTTTGTCTTATTGATGGCATTATTGGGGGGTTAGGGAATCTTAGGATGTGGGGCGTGGTTGGAGAAGTAGGTCACTGAGGACATGTCTTTGAAGGGTACCTTGTCTCTGGCCCCTTCCCATCTATCTGTCTCTCTCAGCTTTCTGGCTTCTCTGAAGTGATCTACTTTGCTCCTATCCATATTCTTGGCCCATGATGCTCTGCCTCACCACAGGCTCACAGCTGACCATGGACTAAATAATGTGAAACCGTGAGCCAAAATAAATCTTTCCTCTTTTAAACTTCTTTTCTCAGGTATCTGTCACAGTAGCAAAGAGCTAATATAGATAGACTCAACTAACCTTGGATCAAAAATATTTTTAGAACATTGCAATGCTAAACATGTGCAGGCTTCTTGTTATTATTCCCCAAACAATACAACACAGTGGAATAGCTATTTATATAACATAACATCGTATTAGGTAGCATAGGAATGATCTGAAGTAAGGTGATCTGAAGTAAGGAGGGGTATGTGTATAGGTTCTTTACAAATACCGCCCCATTTTGTGTAAGGGACTTGAGCATCCATGGAATGTGGTATCTGGGTATGTGTGTAAAGGGGTGTCCTACATCCACCCCCACAGTTATTGAGGAATGACTGTAGTTACCTAGAAATAGAATTTAATTTCCACATTTGAGGCTCACTGTGGGCTCAGAGCATCTTTGCCTTGGAGGAGTTGGGGAGATTTTAGAGTTTAGCATCTTGCCCATCCCTGGTGCTCCCAGAGTGCTGGTTGGAACAAAGGAAGGAGGAACTGATATGTGAATAAGTGAAACACATTGATTTTGTCTGCAAAGAGTGTTACCATCTGGGCATAGGATGAGAGGGAAGTTTGTGGGCTGGTGATAGAACCTGAGGCTGAGTCTGGAGCATGCTTGTGTCAGTTATCAACTGCTGAACGACAAACTGTCTCCAAGCTCAGTGGCTTCAAACACCCACCGTGGTATTTGTTTGTGAGTTTGGTCTGGGTTCAACTATAGTCATGTGGCTGCAGTCTTCTAGTTGATTAAGAAAAAAAAGACCCCCAAAATGAGTAGACCCCAATATACAAGCTCTTTCCAAGCTTCTGTTAAATACTGTTTTTGCTAATACCTAAAATAAGTCACAGTCAAGCCCAGGGTCACGGGATAGAAAAATGAATTCTTACCATCCTGGTCACACATGTCTTCACAGCTGTCTTTGTTCCCCAGCCCTACTCTCACATGCATAGTAACAGGAATGAGTGGATGGAGAAGGGGCTTTCCAGGGAGCTGATTCTTTTCTTTTTTAGTGTTC